TTGCGGGGTTTTCCTGCGGGAACCGCATCGTCCGCAGGTGTCCGGGGGTCCTGCCATGGCCCATGCAAGCGGCAAGCTGGACAAGCCAGCAGCCTGGCAGGGAGCAAGAGCTCACTGCAGGAGAAGACAAGGACTTGGGGAGCCAAGGGATGGATGCCTGTTTCCGAGAACTGTTAGCAGCAGTTAAATAAACAATGCAGTGAATAAATTAAACATCGCCTTGTCTCAGTTGTGGCTTGCTCCTGTTTTTATTTCCAAGAAGAAAAGCAGCCCAACACATGCCACCGTGCTCAGCCAAAACTCAGCTCCCCCGGGGTGCAGCTCCCAGTGAGGGCTGTGGGGAGCCGAGCGAGCCAGCAGATGCAGCCCCCCGCTTCTGCAGCAGTCCCCGGTGAGACAAGTCTCAGGGGGAAAAAAACCCACTTTCTATATCTCTTAACTGGAACTGGAAACGATATCCCTGTGCCCGCAGCTCCAGCAGCCCGGAGCCCAGTGACAGCCAAGCCCCCCTCGCACTGGCAGCAGGGCCACCAGTGACCAGGGGCTGCACCGTCCCCACCGGGACCGACAGCAGTCCGGTGCCAGACAGGGCGGTCAAAGCGCTCCCAACATCGCCATAAAGCACGGGGTGTTGGTGGCAAAACTTCTCCACCTCGTGGGGACTGCAAGGCAAGCACGGGCACCCGCTCGCACCCGCAGCTTTAGCAGAGGGGGACAGCTTCCCAAACCATCTCCGGGAGCAAACGTGCCTTGCTGTGCAGCGCCAGGACCTGCGACTGCTGCTTGAGGACAAGGCAAGCTCAGCGGCCTCTCTCTCCAAAGCCTGGGTGCTACAGCCCGGGTCCTCAGCCTCTAAGTGTCCCTTCCCTCTTCCCCCGCCCCAGCGCTGTTCTACACAAAAGCCACTTTTCTTCTGAAGCTTTATTTTAAGGGTAAGTTTTAAATTATTCATTTTGCAAAGGAAAGAATTGTGCTGCCAGGCTCTTTTCTTTTAGTTTCCTGAAAGGTATTTTTCCTGCGTTGAGGAAAATAATCCAGACTGGCTTTGGTGAGCTGGGTGAAGGCATCCAGAACACGGCACTGTCGATCAGCATACGCCTTTCTGCTTCCCAGCAGCCTCAAGCTCTGCTGCTGAGCCTGTTTCATGGTTTCCTGCCCAATTAGTGGTTACAACACGCGTACACACAGCGAGCAGAACCGCTCCAAATTTCCGTACGCTCTTGCTAATCTCTCGTGTTTTCTTAAGCCTTTGGTAATAATGAAACGACTGGGGATAACAACAGGCATAAATTCCAGGAGCACAAGACCCTGAATCATATTTCTCTTCTAACCAGCTGGTGCACCTTAGGATAAAGCAGTGGGACAGGTTTGGATGCGTGAGCTTTGTTGCGCGCTGCCAACCGCCTTGCTCTCGGCTGCTTATTTCTTAATCAGATTGAAAATAACCAGCTGCTTAGTGCGCATACGGGGTGGTGTTTGCTTCTTTGGTTGGTTCTGGTAATTGAGAAGCAGTCTTAACCATTTTGACCTTAGGCTGGTTGGTTCTGGTAATTGAGAAGCAGTCTTAACCATTTTGACCTTAGGCTTCCAGATCTTAGCACTTTATTTCTAGAGCACCTTCTTCATTTATTTCTGTTTTTCCTGGAAACGAAGCTCCACTGAGCTACCATGAACTATGGTGGCTGTTCGTTTGGTTCGGCTCCCACAAAGCTCACCATCTCGACCTAACGAGCAGCAGCACGAGCTGCTGCCTGGGGCAGCGCTGGTAGCCAACGGGATCAGTGGGGATGAGGGGAGCTCGTGCCAAGTACGTGGCAGCTGATGGGGTACGAATTTCAAAGCTCTGGTCTTGAAAGTTGAAAGACAAAGATTAGGGGAGACACTTCCCATGGCAAACAAGGTGCCAAAGCTGGGCTAAGACCTCTGCTAGAGCTGCTGAGCAGCAAAGCAAGGAGAGGCCCAGGACAGAATTGATTTGCTCATACCCGTCTCTCCCAACATTTGGGCAGAACTTGAGGGGGGAAAAATGGCAAATCCACCAAGAAACTAAGGAAAAAAATGACAAAAGCAGTGCTGGGATTACGTTCAGGAGGCACAGCCCTCCTGGCCTCCTTTCAGCGGACACAGTTTACCGTTCTGCTCTGGAAGAAACCTGTGGGACAGCTGCCTTCCGCAGGCCCCTCCTGAGCTCCTTGTCACCCCCAGCTCCAGAGCCAGCGAACTGAAGAAGCAGCTGCCAACGCTGCCAGAGGATTTCACAAGCCAGGTTTTAACAAGTCCTGACTTAGAGTTTCTTCTAAGCAGCTGACTTTGGGGCTCTGCTGAGCCACGATTGCACAGAGATGCAAGTGTGAGAAAAGGTTAGGGCAGCGCACAAACCCTTCCAACCTGTACCCGTTGTAATCTGAGGGTGCGCAGGTGCTGAGGTGTTGTGGGGGAAAGGGCAAAGGCTACCTGAGGATCCAGAGAAGGCGCAGGTGTTCCAGCAGTGTCAGAGACGTGGAAAAGGCAGCTTTTAACCCGCCCTTGCGCTGCCAGCCGCATGCACGCTGGCCTGCCCGAGGAAGCGCCGGGCGCAGCACTGCTCCTAACCTGTCCCCGAGCTGGCTGCCGTGGGCCGACCTGCGGCGGAAAAGGCAGAACACGCGTGATTAACATCAGCAAGGGACAAATGTTTCCCCTGTCCGTATGGGACCGCAGGAGTCCCACACTTCTACAGCTGGAGGGGCCTTTCCGTGCCCCGCAGAGGTGCCTGGTGACCAAACCCACCACCGGAACAAGAAGCTTTCTGTGTGCTCCTGGGGCAAAGGAGCCCAACTCCAAGCAGGGAAAGCAGCTTTGCACTTCCTTCTCTCCTCCTCCAGCTGCATTAGGCAGGGGAAAAAACGTCTGTAGTCAAGAGTTGTAAGAAAACAGCTATTATCAAGATGGCTTTGCTTTTAAGTCAGCTTAGGTTTATATGGGACAGAGGTCAGGCCAATATCATCCCAGGGTGTGCACACTGCAGATTATTTTTACAAATGTTGACTTGTTGACTTTGCGGTCATAAAAGATTTTCACAAGAAACGTGTCCCCTCACCTCCCTGGCTCTTCACCAATAATTTTATTGCCAACTGTGTGCACGGCAAGCGACGTAATAAGGCCAGCTCAGATGCTGCTTAAATAATTGCTTTAAAAGACATGATTTTTTCCGCCAGCATTATCAATTCTTGTAACTTTTGTCTTGAGGGCTGAGGATTATCCAGTGCTCTTCCGGTTCTTGCAATCAAGCGACTGAAAAACCTCAGCGCTTGTCTGAAAATCAGTACGTGAGCGTTTGTCTTGTACGAGGGGAAGAGCCGGAGGGTGAAGCTCAGTGTTACCACGGGAAGGAAACCATAATCAGACGGCAGCTTTAAGCCGATCAGCGCGGAGGTGCCGTGGGTTGGAAGGGCCCGCAGGCAGAGCGCCGGCGCTGGAGCCAGGCCTTGTGGCCAGGCGTTTGGATGCGGACGGGCAGCCG